ACAAAAGGTATTAGTAAGAGAAATGCAGAAATTTGAATATAACTAAACTTCATAATTAGTTCTGGAACCGTGTGAAATTTCCTGACTTTAATAACTATACTGGATTTATGTAATAGAATATTCTTATACTTTAGGAGATACATAACAAGGTATTTGGGGTTAAAGGAGCATAATATCTACGATTTACTCTTAAACAGTTTAAAAATACATTTATTTAAGAAAGTGAGCAAATGAGACAAAGTCCTAAAAAACTACTGAGTTTGGTTAAGAGTACAGAGAGTTCTCTGCACTATTCTCCAAATTTAAAATCTGAAATTGTATGGGGTGCCTGGGTGGCTTGGTGAGTTGAGGCCTCTGCCTTCGGCTCGGGTCATGGTCACAGGGTCCTGGGATCAAGCCCCGCATCGGGCTCTCTGCTCTGCAGGGAGCCTGCTTCCTCCTCTCTCTCTCTCTCTGCTTGCCTCTCTGCCTACTTGTGATCTCTGTCAAATAAATAAATAAAATCTTTAAAAAAAATAAAATCTGAAATTGTAATAAAATTCAAAATCCCCCTTCTCCCAAAAACAGGTTATACAATGGTATGTTCAGGATGAAGACTTATTTATAAAATAGCCATTAAGAACTAAACTTTAAGCTTTTAAGTTGGTAAAAATTAAATTAGCTATGGATTATAGTATTTTTTTTTTTAATGTCAAGTCATGGATAAAGGGAAGGGACCTTACCTTTTGGAAGTTTACCTCCAAGCACAGTAAATTTTTGTGGATTTTTCAAGAATTCAACAACCTCCTGTAATTCCTGTTTAGCTTCCTCCACCTAAAATGACACAATTTATCAAATGATTATAAATAATGATTAGATTATCAAGGCCTCCTCTTTGAAAATAGTAAATTGAACTGGAAATTAACTAGAAGACTCCCTTACAAATGCACACACAAAAGGGTTTTCACCCAACTCCTTTTGCCAATGAAACGGTCTCCTTAAATATCTCAACAAAAAAATATTCTTAACTTCTTAAATTTTTGAGAAATAGTGTTTCCCCAGTTAACAAGGACTTATATTCACAACTCTAGTTAAATGTATCAGTGGCATTTGACATAAACAGAAAGACTCACAGTTTCAAATCCAGAACTTTTGACCTGGTTTATAAGCTTCGGGGCAAATTATGTGGGCTTAATACATATCAATGAAAAGGGAGCCTGTGTGTTTAAGTTATAACATTACCTTGTGATTAACTATTAGATTATTTTCATTATAAGGAATTACGACTAGATCGTAAATGACTTAGTTCCTTAAAATGTCAAAGGATGGAGACTATAATAAAGCTAAAATTAAGCTTTAGTGTAGGGATTAAAATTAAGCTAAAATTAAGCTATAGTGTACGGATATTGTTTTGCAAATGGTTGTAGCAAAAAAAAGTTTAAATGATTTAATCCCGGGGTGCCTGGGTGGCTCGTTCATTAAGTGTCTGCCTTCAGTTCAGGTCATGATCCCAGCGTCTTGGGATTGAGCCCCGCATGGGACCGAGCAGGAAGCCTGCTTCTCCCTCTCCCACTCCCCCTGCTTGTGTTTACTCTCTCGCTGTGTATCTCTCTTTCAAATAAATAATATCTTAAAAAAAAAATAAAAGATTTAATACCCCCAATACAGAAATCACGTAGAATTAAGATCTCTCGCAAGAATAAAGCCCAATTTGGTCAACAAAGATGGCATGCAGAATATTAGCTCAACTTTAAAAACTCTGATTTAAGATTAAGACAGCTGCCTATCAGGGCCGCCCATGTGGCTCAGTCAGTTAAGCGTCTGCCTTTGGCCCAGGTCATGATTTCAGGATCCCAGGACTGACTCCCACATCGGGCTCCTGCTCAGTGGGGAGGTCTGCTCCTCTCCCAGCTTAGCTGCCTTTTGCTCACTTGCTCTCAAATAAATAAAATCTTAAAAGGAAAAAGAAGCTGCCTATCAGAAATTAGTTAGCATACAACCAGAAGTAACAAATACAAATATGTAGAGCCAGAACGATATCAAAGATGAGTGCAGAAGACCAGATATTAAATAATAGTGGTGGCAGTATGCTGAACTGGAAAGCAAAGACCCTTAGAGAGGAAAAACCACCATGACTTGGCTCTACCACAGAATATAAACCTTGTGTTCCAGACTTAAATTTTTGAAGGAAAACAAAACAAAACCAGACATCATTAAAAATGTTAGCTATCAATTTAAATTAAAAGCACATTTAGGTGTGTACTTTCATGTATTTATTTTAAATTACACTGGTGTAATAATAGGTTTGCAGCCAATTTGCAACACTATATTAGACAACTTTGAATACTTTTCAGTTGGGAAAAAATGAACTCAAGTACATTGGTCAGGGTTAAAAAAAAACTACCTGACAAGAAGTGTACTAAATCATGAAACATCTCTGGGCTGAAGGGCATTATGAAAATCTAGAATTAAACTCATGACTCTCTTAGATTCCTAGATCATTTTCTAGGACTTTCTCTAGGAAGTATACAATCGTTAAAGAGTAAACGAGTTTTTTAATTAGGCTTAGAATGGTCTTTGAAAGATACTGATTAAATTATTAAAACTTAATAAAATGTTTGTAAAGTTAACATTTCTAAGTAAAGCTCTGTCCACCCCTAAGGAGAAATACATACATATGTTCACCAAGAAACATAAAAAATATTCACAAGACCACTNCATACATATGTTCACCAAGAAACATAAAAAATATTCACAAGACCACTCTTTAGGCCAAAACTAGAAACAACCCAATGTCTACCTAATGGAGAATACACACTATTGTGACTCATAGAATACTATGCAATGGGGATGAATGAAGTAAAACTTCATGTAAAAACACGGATGGATCTCATAAACATCATGTTGAATGAAAGAAACCATATACACTACATGTATTATGTTTATGTGAAGTTCAAACACAGGCCAATTAATACATGTTAGGAGACAGAACAACGATACGCTTGCAGTAGGAAGAAAGGGACACTACGAAGTTTCTGGTAATATTTCACTTTTTGAGCTGGGTGCCAACAATATACTGAGTTCACTGTGTGAAAACTTACTAAGGTACAGATTTGTGATTTGTACAGTTTTGTTTGAAAGCTAAGCTTCAAAATTTATGTTTATAAAGAGATCTGGGCGGTGTCTGGGTGACTCAGTCAGTAAAGCGGCTACCTTCAGCTCAGGTCTAATCTCAGGATCCTGGGATTAAGCCCTACATCTGGATCTCTGCTCAGCGGGGAGCCTGCTCCTCCCTCTCCCTCTGCCACTCCCTCTGCTTGTGCTCTCTCGCACACTCTCTCTTGAATAAATAAATAAATAAAATCTTAAAAAAAAATAAGGTCCCCTCCAAAGAATAGAAAAAAAATTATGTATATAAAAAGATATCTGGCCCTTTATCTATTAAAATACGTTTTTTGAATATTCAAAGATATCCATATACTAAAAGAAGGCCAAAGACATTTGGTCAAGGTAAAAACTAAACTTACATTTCCTCTGCCCAAACTTTGTGTCAAGAAAATTCCCAACTGAGGTATATAAAATCTATATAGAAGAATATAGTTTAGGGATCAAGGCAATGAATGAAGGTATAAAAGCCCTTATTAGTATTTTTATGGCAACTATATAGAAAATTACTCCTTTATAACCGGAAATTCTAGGTAAGGAAATGAAATTCCTATACTAGCTCTTTAAGAGTCAGTAAAACTGATCACAGGTACCACCTACTGACCCACCTATTTTGGTAAATGTTATAAATTACATTGGTCTATATAAATTTAGATTCTATAGCGATGATAGCAATATAAAATTATAACAGTAATTATAATATTTGTTTAGATTAGCACAAAAAACTCTGTGATAATCTATAAACTTTGGGATGAGCCCTTTCTAATATTATCAATATGTCTTCTTTAGCTTCATAATCAGAACTGGACTCATTCCAAAAGAAGTGTAGTATATTGAGTACTGAAGTATATACACTGCAGGGAGAAAGGAAGAATGCCT